CATCCCTTTTTTAAAAACTCTTGAGGAAATAGAGCAATTGGAAAGAGATGAAAAAGAACAAAAAACCATAAAACTCAAAAAACAAGCACAGGAAAATCAAATTTTAGCTACAACCCTTGATACTAACAAAGAGACGGAATGCCTTAAGGATAAAATTAACCAACAGAAATTTTATGACGAATACATTGTAGGCCCACCCGAAAGGTCAAATATACCTAAGTACGAAAAATTTGGAGACATAAAAGCTGATTTTCATTTTCGAGATGAGTTTGATAAATTGATCTTATCAGAAAGAGGTGAAAATCTTATGAAGGGCACTGATAATAAAACTGATAAAAGTAGAATATACAGTGAAAATAATGAATTAGTCGACCAACCCCATGCCATTGAACAGAATAAAAATACTCCTAGTGTAGAACATTGCCCTAATAAGGAACAAAAAACCACCAGTAAAGCGACTAAATATACGATTAAGGCTCGAACACGTTAAATAGTAAGAATTAATTTAATTAATACTAATTTAACTGAAAGATACTTACCGCGAATAGATGTTGGGTGTGATAACGCATATTTAGGAGAAGAAATAGTAAAAAATGAGAACGGTCAATGTAATATTATGGCAATAAATACTAACAAGGATGATGTTACGATTGAAATTGACCCAAAAGAAATCCTACCTTTTGAATACATTGCACCTGAATTTGATCCCGATACTAGCAGCGAACATGAAAGACCAATTGTTAAAAATAAACGAGATAAAATAAACGACCTAAAAGGACTCGTGCGCACCGGTCATTTAAACTTGGAAGAACGAGACCAAATATATCAATTGATTTCTGAATTCTCAGAAATCTTCTTGTTACCAGGAGACATTTAACCGTGTACTAACCTCGTCGCACACGAAATCCCGACGGAAAATAACATCCTTATCAACAGTAAACAATATCGTCACCCACCAGTACATAGAAAAGTTTTAGAGGAACACATACCAAAAAAACTTAACGATGGAATAATTGAACCTTCGTCATCACCGTATAATTCACCTCTTTGGATTGTCCCTAAAAAACCTAATAGCCAGGAAAACCCAAGATGGAGGGTAGTAATTGATTTCCGAGAACTTAATAAAAAGACCATTGGTGATGCGTATCCATTGCCTAATATCGCAGATATTAAGGACCAGTTGGGAGGAGCCGTATATTTTTCAGTTTTCGATTTGGCAAGTGGATTCCAATAAATTCCCATAGATGAACGTGATAAGTATGAAACAGCATTTTCGACACCCCATGGACATAACCAATATAGACGAATGCCCGAAGGCCTGAAAAACGCACCTGCCACGTTCCAACGACTAATGGATCTCATATTGAGAGGCTTATTGAATGTTGAAATGCTAGTGTATTTAGATGATATTATTATTTACGCAAAAGATCTAGTAGATCACGAGCGTAAAGTTAAGTTACTTTTCGATCGGTTAAGATCAGCAAACATGGTACTCCAACCAGATAAAGTTGAATTTTTGCGAAAAGAAGTAATATTTCTTGGACATATAGTGAGTCAACGAGGGATAGAACCAGACCCTGAAAAGATACAAGCCGTTAGAAAATTTCCCCAACCAAAAACTATGAAAAATATAAGACAATTTTTAGGACTAGCAGGACACTGTAGACGCTTTATCAAAGATTTTTCAAAAATAGCTAAACCATTATCAGATTTATTAAAAAAGGGAGAAAAATTTGAATGGACTGAAGTGCAGGAAAAGAGTTTTCAAATACTAAAGGATCACCTATGCCAAGAGCCTATTTTACAATTCCCCGACTTTAGTAAATCATTTAAGTTAACAANCAAAAATAGCTAAACCATTATCAGATTTATTAAAAAAGGGAGAAAAATTTGAATGGACTGAAGTGCAGGAAAAGAGTTTTCAAATACTAAAGGATCACCTATGCCAAGAGCCTATTTTACAATTCCCCGACTTTAGTAAATCATTCAAGTTAACAACAAATGCATCTGACTATGCAATTGGAGCGGTATCGAGTCAGAAAAAAGATGGGTTTGACCATCCTGTCGCTTACTTTTCAAGAACTTTAAATGAAGCCGAAATAAACTATTCTACGACTGAAAAGGAATGTCCAGCCGCACTATATGCAATGCATCACTTTCGTTCGTGTTTATTAGGAAATAAATTCGTTCTCGTAGCCGATCATGAGCCATTGAATTGGATTCATACAAGAAAAGACCCAGGTCAGCGTTTGATGCGCTGGGTGTTTAAATTCACCGACTATGAATACACTTTTAAATACAAACTAGGAAGACTCAATACCAACGCTGATGCCTTATCTAGAAACCCAGTAGGACCATTTTTTTATGCAGAAAATAATATAAACAATGGATTACCATTACTAAGAGTTATGATGATGGGTCAAAAGAAAATAGAGGAAAAGAAGAAAACAGAATTACAAAGTCAGAGGAAAGAAATAGTAAGAGCACCCAAATTAACGACGATCAAACCTAAAGCATTGCCAACAACCTCGAAGGAAATAATAGGGGTAACAAAACAAAGAAGCATGACAAAATCAGAACCAGATGTACCTAAGTAGATCAAGGGCACTGGACGACCCCTTGGTTCAAAAACAAACAAAGAACGGCCGAAATTAGATAATAGTGTGATTGCTCAAAGAACCCGAACAAAAACATTACCACAGCCACAGAAATCATCTACATCTCAACCGAATATATTAAGAAATGTCACTAAAAATACATCAAAAGATTCTAGCTCATTAAAAGTAAATTTTTCAGAATCGGTAGCCTCAACATCACACGCTAGCGATACAAATTTGGAAACTACAGAAATAAAACATAATAGTTCCAAAAATGAGGAAATGACACAATTACCAGTTAGAGATATAATTAACCTTGGTGCATCGTCAAGAACAAGTATGTTCTCCGAAAATGACCCAAGCGATACTGAAGAATCGTCAAGAGAAGATACTCAAATACCAGTATATGACCCTAGACGAAGTGGATTACGGCAAGAACTGACTGAAACAGAATTAGACTCAAATACGTATACTGATTCAGACTCAGACATGACAAATACTGAAATTTCCGTTACACTAATTTCACTTAGCGAAAGTTGAAATGATGACTTTTTTGAAGACCAACCTAAAACTACGACAAATAATACTGATGAAGTTACTTATCAAGAAATAGAAGAGTTAACAAAGAGATTTAACCAAAGCCTTCAAGAATATTTGGACACGTCTAACAACGATGACGAGCCCGAACAGGCCGATTTTTTATCAGTAACTAGATTTTCTGATGGAGATAAACCGGACCCCGAAATTCAAGACATATTAACTGAAATGGACACCTACGATCCTGATAATTTTGATGATTCTGTATTAGATCAAAGAATTGCGGATATATCAAGACGTACAACAGGTCTTGAACCCCTAGTCGATGAAAAAAAAATTTTAAGAAAATATAGGACAAGTGGAAAATTATCAATTACCCCACGTATTCAGGAAAATATACCCTTAAGTTCTAGCACACCGACGTAAACGAGTACTTTTACTACTGCAAAAAACAGACGATCTAAAGCGCCGGACTTGCAACAAATAACAGAAGAAACCCCGGATAACTTAAATGAAAACAACAAAAAAATAAACTGCAATGAAAGTAAATCAATAAATCGAACTATTGCACCTGATTTCATGTTACTATCGGACTTATACTCTTTTCAACCCATCAATCGATACAAACAACAGCACGAAAAAGTGTATGTAAGTCTTAGTGATAGTAGCAGTAGTACTGATAATTATAAGAACGAAAATGGAGCTAAGCTANCTTTTCTGTTTTATTTTATATGTATACTAGTAATATAAAATAAAGTGATATAAAACTAATTGGAAAAGGAATTTAAATTATTATAAAATAATAAATAACAAATAAATAAATAAAAAAATAAATAATTATAAATCGACGGAAAGAGGAAGTGCAGGCCATCAGAATCAATAATTAGCGGAAAGAAAGGTAAGTTAATCTGGATATTGTATTCAACACTCTACTTCTTCCTTCCTTTTAATTTTTCTTAAACAAACAAATAGTTGGACTATCTGCTGTCCCGCAGCCTGTGAAGGAGCGTGAGACTATAGTCCACAGTCTTTAGTTTTTGATTTGAAGCTGAAAACAAACTTAAATGACATTAAACGTTATTTAACAGAAAGTATTTCTACGTGTGGAAAACTGTTTGTCCAAAATGTTATTTGTGATTGAAAAGCAGAACATTGAGTCATTAAATTTGTTAAAATCTTTATTTACAGTTTATAAAACATATTAAATACTATTTACAGTAGGTAAAACAAGTTCGACTAAACCGTTATAAAATATCATTGTACGAAACATAAGTCAAAACGTAATAATAGTATTAAATATTAGTCTGTGTAGAGGTTAGCATATTTTCCATACTATGATTTGCAATATACATTATTGAAAGATGTGAACCATGTATTACGAATTTATTCAGGATACGACACAACTTGATTTTTCCTGCACATTCCCATCGGCTTTTTCAATTTCAAGTAACAAAGTATGAAATATATCTGCTACAGACTGAAACATATGCATTAATTTTAAAGAATAAATAGCAGCTAATTTGTATCATAAGTATTCGTAAATAGTGAAATTTTTAATATAAAACAGGTACAGTACCTCATTCTGTTTAGCACTAGTTTCTAGGAAAGCTGCATGCCATGAATCTGCGAGACGTTTCCCTTGTTCTGTAGTTACCATACGATCTACGTAAAGATCTGTTTTATTTCCAACTAAAACTTTTGGTACACTAGGAATGATATATTTTTATACAATAATCTGTACACTTTAGATTTTAAATACATTAAACCTAACGGAATTTTTCAAATTATTTGTTATGCTCAATACATACTGTACTTTGCCTGTGATATCAAGTAACTTATCATATATAACTTGTACGACTTCGAAGCTTTTTGCACTAGTTATACTGTACACTAAAACATATCCATGAATATCCATTGAGTACTGCGTAGGAAATATACTGTATTCATCTTGACCTGCTGTATCAACTAATTTGACTTCATAATCTTGAGAATGTACCCGAGTATTTTTTGTAAAAGCTAAAATAAAAAAATTTGATAATAGAAGGTATAAAATGCCTTACACATGTTTGATTTATAAAATTTTTTTACAAAGTAGACTTATATCNATGCAGCAACAAATTTTACGCCTTATGAACTAGTATTTGGGAAAGTAGCGAGGTTGCCCTTGAAGATACCTAAAGATGAAAGATTACGAACATACCCACTATATTTACAAGATCTTATAAGGCGACTTCAAGAAATGCAAATTGCGGCACAAAATCAACAAATAAAGATAAAAGTACAAGCAAAAACAAGATATGATAAAAAATTAAAGCCTCTAAATGTTTAACCAGGAGATTACGTTACGGTAAAGAAAGAAGTGCGTTCCCATAAATTTGATTGCTTTTATAATGAACCCCTAAAGGTTAGAACAGTTTTAGAGGGAAATAATGTGTTACTTAAAAAAACCAATGGTGAAACCATACGCAAACATACAGATAAATTAAAGCTAGTTTCCCGATAATAATATCTTGTAAGAAACATATTCTACATGTCTTCCAGCGAAAAAAACACAACGATGCAGATTATATTGGCCATCTTAATGACAATAGCGTTCGAAGGCAGCGCAGATTTAAACTATGCTAATCATGGCAGCTATAGCATAGAACCACTTGAAACAAACCCTGGAATATACTACGAACGAATCGGTATAACAAAAATTAAGAGAGCCGATTGGAAGATTGTGATGTGGCTGGATGTTAATAAATTCATATTGGAACAAACACCTACTCAAGGATTAAACGAAACTTTTCGATATTGTATTGTACAGTTTGGTTATTCTAGTTGCACTCACTATATGGAAATGGACCTTTTGAATTTAAAAATAAAGCGATTGACAAACCTCAAAGCGACACTATTGAACATAATAAATACTGTGGAAATCCGTGCAGGAGATAACATTATTCTACCCCCAAGCATACGAGCAAAAAGACTGATACCTTTTGGAATTATTGGGAATATTGCTAAAGGACTTTACGGCTTAGTCACAGAAGATGATATTAACGTTATAAACAGTAACATCAACAATTTGGATACCAATCAAAAAGAATATATTAAATTGTACGAACAAAATAGCCATATTTTTGCAGCCGCATTCAAAGAACTATACAATACCACGAAACGCCATGAGCATATTTTAAAACAAGTTGCTGATATATTGACTTCAGGACAGGATTTTACTCTTGACAGATATCTGATTCATTTGTCAGCATACCTTAGAAGAACTGAGGCTACCCTAGATCACATTATTCGTTCCCATGAAGATCTGATTGACATCTTGCATGATTTACAAAGAGGTCAAGCACATCCAAAGCTATTTTCTCCAAATATATTTAGAACAGTAGCCCGGGATGTAAAGAACCTTGCGGGAAATCTAGAATTTGTAGCACCAATAGAAAACCTTTATGCTGGCGAAATAAGTACCTTAAGCAAATTAGATGTTGTACATCAAGAAAATAGAACCATGGTAATATTACATTTGCCACTCGTAGATCGAACCCCTTACAATCTTTATAGACTACATCCAGTCATGATACCCCAATCTGGACAAAATGGATCTGCCTACATAAAACCGTCGTACCCTTACCTAGCAGTAGCAGCAGATCATAATTCGTATTTACGACTAAACGAAGTTACATTTAACCAATGCGATAAGACGGTATATGGTTATATATGCTCGGCTATGGAACCGCTGAAGGAACCCTATTCTATGAACGAATGTGAAATTCTTATGTTATTACGACCTGGACCAGAAGTATTTAAATACTGTGAAATTATGTTTACGCTGAAAACCGAAAGCCAATGGATTTATTTACCAGCTGATAGTTCATGGTTATTCTCAACACCCAATGAAGAACAATTGAACATTATCTGTCCTAATAAAATGGATCAACAAGAAAGAGTAAAAGGTATAGGTCTTCTACGAATGAATGATGGATGTACGGGAAAAACTCACAGATTAACCTTAACCAGTGAACATAAGATTATCACTCAAATACAATATATCTATCAGGTAGAAGTGAACTTAAACTTAACAGTACTACATGAACCCTTAAAAGACACTAATGACTTCCATGACGCTATAAAATCGATTCGAGAATTAAACTTTAATGAACAAGCATGGACAGATGAAGAATTAAATGTACAAAATATAATAAATCAAATGGAGAAAATACGGACCCGAAAGTTGGAGGAAAAACAAACTTCTCTTTTTTCTTTAATACGAAATGTCATTGAAGCTATTATTATTATGATTATAATAGCAATACTCATCAGCAAAGCAAGAGGCTGTTTCAAGAAGATTATGAAACGTAGTGTCTCGGAAAAATTTATAAAACGTACCATCAACCCACTGAACGCAGAACCCCGAGTAACCATAAAACAAGAACCAAATGAACATGAACCAACTGAACTGTATGTTGAAATTGAAGAAAAACAAAAAATACCTAAATCATCTAAAGCTAGACCTATAATGAAGACACGGAGTTTGATACTCCCACGCTATACACCCCAAAAACTGGAAATTGACTCATAAATCAATAGTAATTTGATACTATTTTCCTTCCAGGTAGAACAATGAACCCCGAATATGAAATAACAATAAAGACTAGACTCAACATAAACCAACCTTTACATGAAGTTATCGAACAATTAGAAAATAAAGGAAATATTAAGGAAATGCACATACTTACGGATTTACATAGTTATAAACATCAAACTATAACCGCCAAATACAATAGTGATTCATTTACTAAAGTAACTGATAAAACACTAAATACAGGAGAAGAAGTTCAACCGCTTTCTCCTTTTAAGATGGAATCCACTATTTGTCGAGCAGAAAAGATCTCTTCACCAACACCATCAAGAAACGACAATGATACACCAAACATTGATCCAAAAAGACTTATATGTCTTCTGCCATGGGATATAAAAGAAAAGAAAAGGAAAAGAGATTTCTTTAATCATTTCTCTCAATTTGGCACCCTAGAATATTGTTATGCCGTTAGAGATCGGCGGGGAAGATTATCCCAAGGATATGTAAAATACATGGATCCTAAAAGCGCTATTTTAGCATTGCAGAACGATGAACCCAAATATCGCACGAAATATGCTGAACCAATTAAAAGAAGTGAAAAATACAAAATGAACCGAAAATCGACTCACCAATTATGTCAACAACAAGTTGAGTTAATGACCTACCACAGACATGTGATTACATGCAAAAGACAACGCTGTACACAAACTACAGAAACGAAGTCAATCCTTACCAAAACCGTTGATCTACGAGAAAAGATCACAAGTAGCAGAAAATGAACCCAATACTTGAACCCTACCATTCAACTAGCCGCCTTCTACGTCGAACACACATCACTTAGTTCTAAGATTTTAACTTTAAGCTTTGTAAAATCAATTTTTT